CATCAGTTTTTTAACCACGCTTGGAGTGCAGAGGCTTGAGAGGAAAGATGCTTCCTGAATGTGAATGCTCCTCTCTTCTCTCTAATATAAGCAGGTTATATAAAAGTTTTGCTGTTTGTTTAGCAGTTCTCTATCATCTACTTACCATAAGGGAAACTGTAGTCGATTTTTTAAAGTGCCCAGATATAGGTAATAGGGTCCCAATAGAGGCTTGTCAATTTGATTTCATAAATGTATTAAATTTAACCAATAAGGTAATAAAGCTGGTGTCAAAACCTACAAAGAAAGAACAGATAATAGAAATTAATTTATTACTTTTGACCCTTAACAGTATTTCATTATTTTGGACAATACTTGCATAGATGACCGGAAACCAGGGTGGTTTTCCCATGAGCAGCTGCTTTGGGAATCACATCATTCAGATTCACATCTAGACCTAGAATGAGAGAAAATTACACTCCTGTGAGGTCTGCATCTTTGCAACCCTCTGAGCAATTTGGAATCCTTCCACCATCAAGACCAACCCCCCTCGCTTCCCCCCCCAACAACCCCGCACCTCCAGCCCTGCCCCTGCACAGTTGCCTTGTCCTGAATTGGCTTATTTGAAGAGGATAGGGTTCTGTAACTACCTCCTTCATTTCCCTTAAACTGGGCTCCACAGACGTCCGCAGTGTTCTTGGAAAAAAAGGTTTGGATGTTGCCTGAGTTAATTAATTTGAAATATTCCCTATGAACCATCGCCTTCAGTAGGAAACAGCAGAAGCACATTATGTACTGGGTCAGTGAAACGAACAACTGGTCAACCCACAGTAATGTCATGGTGATCCTCAGTGTCTGGGTCGATCAGAAATAACCAGAAAAAAGCCAAATTACCAGAATAAAAACTGCAATACAACTCCGTGTAAATTAGAGCACGCAAACTAGTTTACCCTCTTTCTACAGCAGATTAATTCATGAAAATGTATGCAAAACAAATTTTGTGACCCAAATTCTTTTTTTTTAAACCATATCTTAGTTTTTGCATTTTGCTTTACAATTTTAAAAGCACTTGAATGTATTTTTTTTTCCTCAGCTAAACCTCTCTCTCAGCAGGTGGGATTACGGGAAATAAATCTAAGTGATTTGTCCCAGACACACAGAAAGTAGTAGAGTTGGAGGCTCCAGACCAAGTCCACAGATTTCTCAGCTTAAAGAAAATACCTACATCCTTTTTTGAAGTAAAGAAATCCTTTGAAATATAGTCATGCCCTAATTTTCCACATTAGAAAATACGGATTTTTTTATGTTGGATTTATTTAAAGCAGGATGTGCCTGTATGTATAGTATGCTTTTGTTGCTTTCTTGTTTCTATTTTTGGGGAAGAGCATGGCTGAATTATTTTGTATGTTCAATAGTCATATTATTACATCTTTTTTCCTCTGATTGAGCAGAAAATAATGGTTTGCCCTTATGAGATTAGTTTCCACCCTGATTAATATTTAACCTTTTTATTTTTAATTCCACCCAGTTCAAAATTTCTTTAAAATCTTAGAACACAGCTGCTAATTCACTAATCCACTGCACTGATCTCAAACTCATGACTGCCGAGGCCAATTAATCTGCATTATTTGTTGTTTAAGATTGTCCTTTTAACCAGAGAAACCATCTCCTGAGCCATCCTGCTGGTTGAATATTAGGAGTCAGACCTTTTCGTGCACAGGAAGAGTCCGTGGTTTAAAGATCTGATCTTATTTTATTGCCTGTTACCAACTACCTTGTAGTTATTTTGCGAACCAGTAAACCAGCCTCAGTTCATTCATCTGAAGACTGAAGGAGAAGTTTCCTTATAAGGATTTATGTCAGCAAATAAAGAATGAACATTTACAGAGTATTTGCAGTTGCCGCGGCAAAAGGTTCAAGGGGAAAGAGAATGATTGTTTCTGGTTCTCATGTCAAAACCTGTGAACACAGCCCCTCCAGGGATTTGGTCAAATGGCAATTTCAGAACAGCCACGATGCATCAGATGGTGGACGTCAGTGGAAAGGCTGAACCCAGACTTCAAGCCTGACATTAAATCTCTCTGCAAGTAATTTACATTTCCCTGTTTATGAAGGGACATGATAGCTAACTGCACCACAGAATATTGATTAAAAAGTACATAAAGTAATTAGAGCTCCTTAAAGAAAAGTAATACTGAAATGTAAGGAGTTCATCCAAGTTGCTTTTAAAGGCCTTTACCCCCACCCCCAAGCAACAATGTGAGTTAAGCAATGTAAGATAAACATTTAGCCTCCTTTCCCATACCAGCAGGACCCTGGCAGCCCAGCCTCCCCATAGCCTGCGGTGGGGGCGGGGGCGAGAGAAGGAGGAGGGGGACCAGAGCTGGGGACCACAGGCAGGAGCCCAGGCAGGCTTCCAGAGTTCAGTACTTATGCCTCTCACAACCTTTGCTCTGGGGTCGTATTGACGATTCCTTTCCCTCATTCAATGTCCTGGTTGCAGGCATCACCCTGTGTCGCTGAGGTTAAAAATTAAGGGGCTGCCTGACCTTTTGTTAACCCTTGAGAAGAAGTCAGGCCCCTAGAAACAGGAGATGCCTGGCTTAGCTCAACTCTTCTGGTCTTCAGGGTGACAGTTACAAGCCTGCGGCTGCCTCCCCCAGGACCCCTTGAGGCTTAAAACCTGTTTACCAGCCAGATTGTTTGGCTCCAGGAAATAAGACACATGTACAAACACAACTTGGGATGGATTCATACTTTTTAACTCTCTGACAGCAACACTCTCCATTCCCCTCTCCCTCAAAATAACTTGTGAGTCTGTAGTTAGTCTTTGAAATTTTGACTTTATAACAATTTATTGGAAAAAGTATGTTGGTACCTTCCAGTTGTATTGGAAAGGATCAGCCTGTGTTGCTTTATTCTGAACATCTTTCGCAAGCCTCTGAAGCGTAGAAGAGTTAACTGAGTATTTTAGTTTTTCCTTTGATTTCTAAAAGAATGCTACATGACAGAGAAAGTAATTTTGGTTAAAATTAGGGAACTAGAAATTACCTAGGTTTTAGAAGCCTTTGTTTTGATTAGCCTTTTTTTTTTTTTTAAGACAATGGGAGATTACAAAAGAACAAATAAAAAGCTGGGAGAAGGATAAAGGAAGTAGGTAGAGAGAAGGGTCAAAATACTGTCTTCGACTGCCCCCTCCTCAAAGAGGAGCGTTTTAAAAGACTTGCTTCAGTTGAGAGTCCCTGCAGGCCCCACCGGGGTGAGCAGAAAGGGCTGCCTTCTGTGCAGTGTCTGCGGGAATCGGCTGCCTCCTAGACCCCATACTAAGTGTTAGGCAGGAGGTTGATTCCCTGTCCTACCTACCTCTCACATCGCCAAGTGCCTCAGGCCAGAGTTGGCCCTTTCAAAGCTGATCCATGCAAAGTTTTCTTTGACTACACCAACCCATTATATTTATTGCCTTTACCTACATCCTCCTCAGGAAGCTTCGGAGTTCCTACCTTGGAAATAGAGGTCTCCTACTCTGACTTAAGAAACTGAACTTTTCTAGTATGGACTACTAAAGCCAATGAGTAATTCCCAAACCAAATTCTTCAGCATTCTAATAAACATTCTTAATGATTTTTGTGAAAATCCCCTCTCCTTTCTTCCCTTTCAGCAAAAGAAAAAAATTCTTTAAAAAAAATACGTCTTAAAAAAATTGTTTTTAAATTTTATTTTTTTTAATCAAAGTACCATCAGTTACAATGTGTCAATTTCTGGTGTGAAGCACAATGTCCCAGTCATGCGTATACACACATGTATTCGTTTTCATATTATTTTTCACTAAAGGTTATTACAAGATACTGAACATAGTTCCCTGTGCTATACGGAAGAAATTTGTTTTTTATCTATTTTTATGTAAGTGGCTAACATCTGTAAATCTCAAATCCCCAGATTTATCCCTTCCCACCCCCTTTCCTGGTAACCATAAGATTGTTTACTATGTCTGCAAGTCTGTTTCTGTTTTGTAGATGAGTTTTCATAGTGTCCTTTTTCTTTCTTTCTTTTTTTAGATTCCATGTATGAGTGATATCATATAGTATTTTTCTTTCTCTTTCTGGCTTACTTCACTTAGAATGACGATCTCTAGGTCCATCCATGTTGCTGCAAATGGCATTCTTTTTTATGGCTGAGTGGTATTCCATTATATAAGTATACCACAGCTTCTTTATCCAGTTACCTGTCTGTGGACATTTAGGTTGTTTCTATGTCTCAGCTACTGTAAATAGTGCTGCTGTGAACATTGGGGTGCATACGTCTTTTCAAATTAGATTTCCCTCCGGATATATACCCAGGGTGGGATTGCTAGATCATATGGTAAGTCTATTTTTAGTCTTTCAAGGAATCTCCATACTGTTTTCCATAGTGGCTGCACCAAACTACATTCCCACCAGCAGTATAGGAGGGTTCCCTTTGCTCCACACCCTCTCCAGCATTTATTGCTCATAGACTTTTGTATGATGGCCATTCTGACTGGTGTGAGGTTGATACCTCATTATAGCCATGCACAAATCACTCAGTGTGATACACCGCGTCAACAAAAGAAAGGACAAAAACCACATGATCATCTCAATAGATGCAGAAAAGGCATTTGATAAAATTCAACACCCATTTATGATAAAAACTTAGCAAAGTGTGTATAGAGGGAACATATCTCAACATAATAAAAGCTACAGACCTATAGCCAGCATACTACTCAGTGGTGAAAAACTGAACGCCTTCCCACTAAAACCTGGAACATCTTTATTTTTAATTCAACTTTTATTTTGAAAAGCTTGTGGAGAATATTGTGATCACCTTGTGGTCATTTGCCACATCCTCCAAGGGTGATGTTAAACTAGCACTTAAAAAGCCACTCATATAAAAAAATAATGCTTGTCATTGACCTTCATTGCGCAAATTGAAAATATACTATTATTATATAATCTTTAACTACTGATTGGCCCACTTATATTCTCCTAATGTGTGCTTTGTTGCAGGAAATCTTCACCGAGCTACCAGTGTTCCCGAATATGTCCACAATCTACACTTGGTTGAAAATGACTTTGCTGCTGGGCGCTTCCCTTTTACTAAAACCTATGACGTGCTGAAGGTATGGTACCGGAGAATAGAGCCCTTGCTGCTGGATTGCCATGTAAACATGTTTAAACTTTGTAGGTTATTTTTATTTTGGGGGGCTGGAGGTAATTGAGTTTATTTATTTTAATGGAGGCACCGGGGATTGAACCGAGGACCTCTTGCATGCTGAGCACGCCCTCTACCACTGAGCTATATCCTTCCTCTGTAGGTTTATTTTTTTTAATTGAGTTATAGTCAGTTTACGATGTTGTATCAATTACTGGTGCACAGCACAATGCTTCAGTCATACATGAATATACATATATTCATTTTCCTATTCTTTTTCACCATGAGCTACCACAAAATCTTGACTATATTTCCCTGTGCTACACAGTATAAACTTGTCTGTTCTCTATATACCTGTCAGCATCTGCAAATCTCAAACACCCAGTTTATCCCTTCCCAACCCCCTCCTCCCTGGCAACCACAAGTTTATAGTCTATGTCTGTGAGTCTTAGAGTTTTATTTTTTAATGTTTACCATTCTCAAGTATTACCATTGCCTAAATGAATTATGAGAAGATTGGCTTTGTGTGGACACCATGGAAAACCAGGCACTAAATGGTATCAAATCCTGGTGCAGATAGTAGTCAACCAAGTCTTGTTTAAAACCAGATTTTACCCAGAAAGGGGCCGACTTCTCCACTTGCCCTAGAGAAACCAACCTCTTGTATAATCATCCTAGCATCAGTGGACAATGCAGATGAAAAGTGATTCCCGCCTGATTTGAACTTTCTTTCTGTCTTGTGCAGACAGGCACAACCGCCACTTACGAAGCCCGCTGGGGGAGAGGAACTTCGCAGTACAGCTCGCAGAAGTCAGTGGAAGAAAGGTCCCTGAGGCAGCCTCTCCGGAGACTTGAGATTTCCCCGGACAGCAGCCCGGAGAGGGCCCAGTACCCGCCCGGCGAGCCGCAGTACAGCCAGAGGAGCCAGGCCGGGCTCACGCTGCGGGCCCAGGAGGGCCGCCGCTCCGCGCCCGCGCTGCCGCCGCGCTACGCGCGCTCCGAAATCGTCGGCTTCAACCACTCGGTGGCGGCGAGCAGGCAGCGCCACTACGACACTTACCAGCGGCGCTACCAGGACGCCGTCTTCGACGGCGCCCCTGTGGCGCCGGTGCTGCTCACCTACCCCAGGCCCGGGACCAGCCACAGCCTGGGCAACCTCCTGGAGAAGGAGAACTACCTGGCCCCGGGGCCCGCGGCGGGGCAGGTCCGGCCGCCGGCGCCCGTGCAGCCCGGCAGCGCGCAGGGCCGCGCGGCGCGCTCGTCCTGGCACCAGAGCTCCTTCCACAGCACGCGCGCCCTGCGGGAGGCCGGCGGCGCCGCGGAGTCGGGCGGCCGGAGGATGCACATGACCGTGGGCCAGGTGGCAGCCGGCGGAAGCGGGAACGTGCTCGCGGAGAGAAGCGCCTTCGCCGACGCGCAGCTGGGGTGAGTCCCCGTCCCCATCGTCCCCATCTGCGGCGCGCTCCGTGCCAGCACATTCTGTTCCCACGGCCCTGACCGCGTGAGCCGGCGCTTCTGGGGCTGCAGAGAGGCTTCCCGAGATAAGTGGTTAAAATAATGACAGATTAGCCTATTTACCCCAGGGACAGGGGCCAAGCTACCTGCTCATATGGCAGCTTCGTGAGGAAATGTGACTTTTAGTCCATCTGTTCCAAATTAGATGCTGACTAAAGGGATGGCTACCCCTTGGCTATGTGAAAATCTGCTTTGAATGGAGCTAACTGCAAAGTAGACCAAGAAATAGATAATTGCATGCATTTTCTCAATCGTTCCTTGGAACCAAGGAAGGAAAAAGGCAGACATTTATTCCTGGTGCTGAGTGAACCTTAAATGCTGTTTTTTTGTTGTTGTTCACGAGATATATTCTTTTTTTCTGAAATCTTTTTTTTCCTTAAATGCTGTTTTGATAACTACTACCATAAAAAGACTGAGAGTTAAGCAGAGGCAGATAATTTCTAGATATCTCTTTCCTTCTTTTGATACCTTATAATTTTACCTTTGATTCTAGATTCACTGATTTGGAGGGTGGTTTTGGGGTTTTTGTTTGTTTGTTTTTTTCAATACTGAATAATTAAAATAATTGAAGTTTCAGAGTCATTTCTTTGCCTCTTCTATTTACCTTATAGCTTGACTAACCCAGAGTCTTTGGAGCTTAACCGTTATTCAAATTTAATGCTAGAGCGCAAATTTCAGAAACCGAGTTACTAAGAGAAAGGCTGAAAAACGGGTGACTGATTACATCAGTAACTCCTAAAAGAATGGTATAGTATCAGTATGGCAAAACATTATGTGATTTTTTTTTCTTTTAATTTCTGAAGTTGCTTAGTGGAGGTTGTTACCTTTAATCACCCCTTTAAGTGAAATTGTACAGTGCGCTCACTGACTAGGCAGGCACCAGTGAGGAAAGATGTTAGGGCTAATCTAACCTTTTTAAAAATTGAAGTGCAGTCATTTTACAACATTGTGTTGATTTCTGCTGTACAGCATAGTGACTCAGATATGTACGTATATATCTTTTCCCTATTCTCTTTCTTTGTAGGCTATTACAAGGTATGGAACATAGTTCCCTGTGCTCTATAGTAGGACCCTTTTGTTTACCTATTTTGTATATAGTAGTTAGTATCTGCAAATCCTGAACTCCCGATTTATCCCTCCCCACTCCTTTTCCCCCCTGGTAACCATAAGTTTGTTTTCTATGTCTGTGAGTCTGTCTCTGTTTTGTAAATAAATTCATTTGTGTCCCCCCCTCCTTTTTTTTTTTAAGATTCCACGTATAAGTGATATCATACGGTATTTTGCTTTCTCTTTCTGGCTTACTTCACTTAGTATGATGATCTCCGGGTCCATCCATGCTGCTGCAAATGGCATTATTTTATTCTTTTTTGTGGCCAAATAGTATTCTATGGTATAAAAATACTACAACTTCTTTATCCAGTTCTCTGTCGATGAGTATTTAGGCTGTTTCCATGTCTTGGCTATTGTAAATAGTGCTGCTGTGAACATTGAGGTGCAGGTGTCTTTTTGAATTAGAGTTTCTTCTGGGGTGCTAATCTAATCTTGAAACAAGAAATAGTTTTTATAAAGCAAAATTGAGCATGAGACAGCTAACATTTCTTGTAGAAAGCAGATCTTTGTCAGTACGGACACACTTACAAAGAAGAAAAATTCATGAAGTAATTATTTATGGAAGAAAAAGCTGATCAAGTCTTTTAAATGGATAATTCAGAATGTATTAAATGCCTACTGTATTTCAGGATTGGTGCTAGATACAATTTTAACAAAATTATTTAACAATAGCAAAACTGTTGTGCCACATCCTCCAACAACTGGCTTCTCCTCCTCCTCCATTTGTGTGCCCCACATGGCTTCAACCACCTTGTCACTTCCCAGTCTCTCATCAACCCACAGCAGTATGGCTTTAGTCCCCACCATTTCGCTGAAACATTCTCCCCACACATCTGCCAGTGACGGTCTTAATGCTACAACCAAAGTAGACACGTATTCAGTGTGTATATTACTCAGTCTGTGGGCAGCGTTTGACACTACTAGCTGTGAAATTCTCTCTTCCTTGGTTGTCGGGGCACCAGCTTCTCCTGGTTTTCTGTAGCCATGTCTTACTCTTCTCTGAGGAGAGTTTTCTGCATGCCCAAGGAGGTCACCCTCAGCAACCTTTCTCTTCTGCTCTTGGTGCTTGCTCTTCCAGAGAAGCCCTGGGCACAGCACTTGTATCCTGTGATTCGCAACATCTTCTCTTCAGCTGTGTCCTCCAGCCTGAACTCCAGATCTGTATGTAGTTCTGAACAACCTCCTGGACAGCTCTATCTCAGTATATTCAAAACTAAATTTATCAGCTCTTCCCTACCCTCTACTCCTGTCTCCTCACACTAAAGTCTCACCATTTCCCAACCTGGAAGTCTTTTTTAAATTTTACCTCCATAGTCACAAATCGCCAAGCCATACATATTTTTATCTCATTCCTGGGTCTTACACTTCTGCCCTTCTTTCTGTGTCTGTTGCATTGGCCCCTCTGCCTGTGGTCTCCTCACTCAGAACCATTCTCTAGGACTATTAGGATGATCTTGCCAAGTCTGATCACTTCTGTCTTCAATTTATAACCTTTACTTAATTCCACCAGATTAGTGTGCTTGTTAGCGTGGCACACAGAGCCCATGTTTTCAGCACTGCTTATCATTCTTGTCTCATCTCTTTCTACTCCTCCATCTTTCGTCATCACTGTCCCCAAACACTCCCCCAGACACTCAAACCACCTTGAACCTCTTTTACTTCCCTTAATGGAAAATATTTTTTGCATATTTTCTTTCTTGCTTCATTCCTCCCTTTCTTCCTTTCTTTGCCTATCTATCTATCTATCTATCTATCTATCCTCTCTGTTTCCTCCCAGTAGTTGTGGTTTTGCCTGGCTACTCATGATTCTGCATTTAGCTCAGTTACCACCTTTTCCCTGGCCACTCCCCTCACAGTCTAGTTTAGGTGTCCAGGTGGCTATGCAGTGTGGGTGTCTCTACCAGCATAATTTATTGTGGTTATTCATTTACCTATCTGCTCTCCCTCTAGCCTTGAGCTACTTGTGAGTGTCTTATCATCTCCATATTCCCAGTACCCTAGAACAGAGGTAGGTCCGTGATAGGCACTTTATAAATATGAGGTGAAAGAATGAAACTGAAGAAGGAAGAAATGAAATATAAACTTAATTTCTTGCCATCTAAGTTCTTTTGTTGCTCAAATTCTAGAACTATTAAATAATTTATTTCCAGTTATTGTTTTAATAGATAGGATGAATTTCCTTGGAATAATTAATCACATTTCAAAGAATAGAAGGAACACTTGGGGTCAAGAAATTTAAAATAAAGCGCAAGAAATCTGTCCTCAATAATTCTCAAAGTTGCCATCCTAGAGACCAGACAGCACAAAAATGAACGCTTCTTGAAAATTTTGCTATTTATGGAAAAGAAAAGGGGTCAGAGGTATAATGATCAAGGTGGCATCCGTGCCTGATTCTCTGTCTTCCTTTGGTGGTCCACATGGCTCGTTTCAGTTCCCCCCGGGCTGCTGCCTGAGAGCCCTGCCCCTGACAGCACACACTCTGCCTTGCAATGTCTCACGTTTCAAACTCTCTCCAGTCCCGGTATTTGGAATCCACATTTTTATGTCTTGTGAAGGTCCCACGTGTAATGAAGAGTTACACATTTGTGGAACATTCCCAAAGAGTAGCTGGATAAAACTAGAAACCTGCATAATGACATAACGTATCAAACAATGGATCTTTGTTTCCGAAAGAAGAATGGCTGGTCAGTTACTAATGCAACTAAAAATCAAGACATTGGAGTGAAAGAGAGGCAGTCCACCTGCTCTAATTCAGACTAATGAAAAAGGTGTAAAAAATCACCAAGTAAAACGTTCTAGATCAGTTTTTCTGAAAAGAAGATTTCTGTGTGGGGGACTGGTGGGTCAGCAAATGAATATTAGGGTCCTCCAGTGAGCCCCACACTGCAGTAAATAAGCACCAAGGAGATAAAAATTGAGTGGGATATACGAGGGTCTAGAGAGGACCCATAAAAAGAAAATAAGACACATCAAGTGCTAGGTTGTGCCAGTGTCTGTAGGAATTCAGAGAACAGAAGAGCGATGTTCTCTAGGATTCGTAGAGGAAGACTAAGGAAAGAGGCTGTATCTCTGGTAGGACCACTGGTCAGGTTTGTGACACAGAGCAGAAAAGATGTCATATTAACTTCCCTCCACATCCTCCTAATTACCACTTCTGTAGTTCTTTGATTCTTCAGATCTCTTTCAACTTTATCTTTTTTTCCATTTCCATTTTTAACAACCCAATTCACAGCTTTATTGCTTCAGTGAAGACTCTCATGGTGTCCTCAAAACTGTCTCTAGAAACACATATCCACTCCAGAGTCGTCTTTGCAAAGCAGTGCTTCCATCACACTTAAAATCTTTGCGAGGTGGGGGAATTTGCCTTTCCTAAGCATCCGACGACACACAGGAGCCCTTCACTGGTCGTCTGGCGTCGGTTTGCCTTCCAAGCCGGAGCCCTGTTCTGACATCTGGGAACCAGCCTGATCAGGGCTGTGTTGTTATTGGCAGGAATGTGTTTGCTGAGAGATTGCACACCTACAAAAAGCACCATTTTTAATTTCTCCCCTGTACTATCTCATATTCTGACCAATGATATTTTACACTGCTTCCTCTTAACATTTTTCATTTATATTAACATCATTTTAGCATATTGACTAAAGCTGTTGAAAAGACTCGCTCCTGGAGAATGTGTTCAGTGGGTATTGGGGCCCAGGAACAACTGGTTTTCCTGATCCTCCCCTCCCCAACCCCATCTCCCAAGCCACATTTCTGCAGGCTTCAAGAAGTGTTTTAGGAGTGAGGGGAAAGGAAGAAGGAAGGAAGAAAGGGAGGCAGGAAAGAAAGTAAGGAGGAGAGAGAGAGACAGACTGAGGTGAATCTGAGCAGGGGTCTTTCCTGGGTACAAAAGCCCCTTCATGTCCCCTGTTTCTTGTTTGTGGGGGTAAAAAGGCTTTAGTCTCCTAGACCTTCTCTAAATTGCAAAGAGCAGTCTCAAAAAGTTAATGATTAGGAGAACAGAGTCACAGGACAAGTAGTTCCTCTTGAAGGGATATAGATAACAATCTGATGCAGATCTTTGAGTTGTTCTGCAGAAACCAAGACCCCCACCCATGGTGGATAGTTACTGCACACTGACCACCAGCACGTAGACCTCATACTGGTTGGATCCAGAAGGTTGATGATTGAAATTCCCAAAACATCACCCTGTTACCTCAACACCAGCCAATCAGAATAATGTCCAGAAACTGCTTAGGCAACCTGGCAACCCTCACCCCAATGTCACCTTTAAAAACCGCTTTCCCCAAAAGCCATCAGGGGTTCTGGTCTTTTGAGCACAAGCTGCCCATTCTTTTCACTGGGTGCCCTACTATAAACACTGTACTTTCCTTCACAGCAACCCGGTTCATTACATTGGCTTTGCTGCATGTTGGGCAAGCAGACTCGAGTTCCATTTGGTAACAGGGGAGGAGTGCTGTGTGGGAGAAGAGAGATGGGAAGGAATAGCTGTAGCTGGGGAGAGGAATGCAGGACAGGTTTCACAAGAAGTGATGATATTTGAATAGATAAGAATTAGGTAGAAGGATGGGCTTTCTAGAAAAATCCCATAGACTGGCTTGTGAAGAGGCATGCAGTGTTTAGAGGAGGAGTGGAAGTCCAGTGGGATGGGAGGATGGGTTAGTCAATGAGAGGGGGTGGAAGATGGCAGGACATGGAGCTAGTCTAGCGTCAGAACGTGCGCCATGTTTTAGAGTTGGACTTTACAGACAATAACAAAACAGAAAGCTGATGCCCTGACAGCTGTGGCAGACCTTCTTGTTAAGGAAGCCTTCCTTCTGGTTGGGAATTGTTTTTAATGATGAAGTAGAATTTGGTCGGCTAGTAGTGAATGCAGAGCTTCTTTGTGAGTCATGTCCGGGAAAATAAAGGATTAGAGTAATGGAATCATTTGTGGGTGTTGGAGACTTGGGAAATTCAGACTTTCCTGAGTCATTTATGACTTATAAAGTAGATTAATGGCTGAATCTTAAAAAAAAAAAAAGGATTAAACATAAGGTTATTCTTAGGTTATTAATGATCTTTCATCGGTTATAAAACCTGAAGTGGCGGATGGTGAAAGATTTACAGCTGTTTGACTTTTGATTTCCCTGTAAAATTACTGCAGTCCATGCATGTAGGATATTTCCAGCTCTTTTAAAAAGGGTGTTTATATTAAATAAAAGTGATTCAAATTCTGGTTTTAATGGTACAGCCTACATTTTTTACCAATTAAATCGACTCCTGAGGCACATTTTAAAATATGAGATCATTATGTAATTCTCAGTATAGATGCCAGAGGTGTTCTGCTTCGTATTTAATATCCTTATACTCATGAGGTAACGCTGCTATGTTTGAGCATGTGTTTCAGAAGCAGTGGGAATTCCATTTTGGTCACAAGGCCCATTAGTCTTATCTCCTCACCTGTGCCACATCCACCCCACACAGACACCCCACTCACAACGTGCACACGCTCACCTCTGTGCACAGGTGCGTGTGTTACTGTGTTAGCCTGATGGAAGGGAGAACTTGCTCACTGCTTGCTGGCAGATGCTGGAAGACACCCTCCCATAATGTCTTCAGAACTTCCATTATCTGGAATGACTCAGCTGTAACCCTCTTTGAGCCCAAAAAGAGCCTTGAAGGCATGTCTTTAGCCCCAGTTCTAAGATGTTGCCCCCTGAGCTTGGTTTCTCTGACACCATCCTTAAGGGAGTACTAATGTGCTAACATCCAGCTTGGGAACAGACTGCCTACCCTAGTCCCCCTCCAGGCAGAAGTAAACTGGGAGGGGGAAAAATGCCAGCGCTATGATGCAATTTGGGAATTACTGTTTTACAAGTAGTGATTTTATTTGTCCTCTATAAATCATCCTCTCTGTATCAAACTGAAATCACATTTTATCCTGCAATTAGGAAAGGACAAAGTATGCTGCCAGATAAATTCAATGTCATTACAGTGACAAAGCAAATGGTAGCAGAATGTCTAAAATTGTTTTCTAAAAAAATTTTTATAGTTGCATTTTATCATTACCTTTCTTGATGGATTCTGAAACACCAGTATGACTTATTTTGACCAAACTCAGTTTTTCTGGCTTTTACTTTTCGTTTACTGTTATATTCATTAAACCAGAACACTTTCGGAATGCTCCTTCTAAAACTTATTTTCAGGTAAAATAACAGATTCAGAGCAGCTTTGAGAAAAATCTAATGATTTTTGAGAGAAGGTGTGGCATTACCAGGGTAGGAATAATTCCATGTAAAGTCTAGCTGTGCCTTCAGTTACTTTATAAGATACAATTGTTATACTACACATATTTTATCATAAACAGAGTTAAGTTTGTTTCTTTGGTCTCTGTTATGATTCTGCTCAATTCAGTGATATCTTCAGAGGCTAGTCTGACCAGAGCTGAAGTGTTTCTGCTACCCACTTCCTAAACCTTCTGACCTCAGGGGCTGATTCTTCTTTCGGGTGAAGAAGAGCCAAAGAGCAGATGACCTAGGTGCTCAGTCATCACGGGAGGATCAGGTTGACAGGCAAGAGGGAGCAGGTTTGGAATGTTGTTTAATCTGTGACTGTTTGTCTAGGAATCTGGACACGGAGATGACTCTGGAACGAGCAGTCAGTATGCTTGAGGCGAACCACACGCCGCTGTCCAGGATTTCTGCTGCAGCCACTTTTATACAGCACGAGTGCTTCCAGAAATCTGAGGCGAGGAGAAGGGTGAGTATCATCTCAAGTCCGGTGCAAAGCTAGCACACTTTCACATCTATTACGGTGGCTCTGCACACTGAAACCAAATTTAATTTATTTTAATTTTTGAAAAATCTTCATGGAGTTAGTGTCAATTATGGCTCAATTTAAAAATAAAATAAGTAAATAAGTAAAAATAAAATCTTTATTGAGTCTTTTTAATTTAAAAGGAAATTACGCTTATTACCAAAAAACAAAACAAAACGTTCCTTCAGTTTAGAAACTTAGGTAAATCACTACATGTACCTCTTCCTTCTTTGGCCACCTCTTGCTTTAGAACCATCCCCAGTGATAATTGTAACAGTCTGTGTACTTTCAGATTTTTCTGAAAGACAAAGAGGGAGAGAGCGAGAGAGAGTGTGCATGCATTTTAGGCTATTGTTTTATATATTTTAAAAATATATTAAATGTAAGCAATGTTTTCCAAGTTTTGTTTTCATTAAATAATTTCATTAACATAGTATAATAGAGGTTCACTGGACAGCTTTGTACACACATCTTTTAGCATTTCCACAAGTGTTCCTATAGGATACATCATCCAAGATGGAATCAATAGGTCATTTTATGGTTTTTTTTATTTATTTACATTTTTTTTAACTGAAGTATAGTCAGTTTACAATGTTGTGTCAATTTCTGGTGTACAGTATAATGTTTTAGTCATGCATATCTATAATGTATTCCTTTTCATATTCTTTTTCAGTATAGGTTACTACAAGATATTGAATTTAGTTCCCTGTGCTATGCAGTATAAACTTGTTGTTTATCTGTTTTGTATATAGTAGTTAGTATCTGCAAATCTCGAACTCCCAGTTTATTCCTTCCCACCCTCTTTCCCCCTTGGTAACCATAAGTTTGTTTTCTGCGTCTGTGAGTCTGTTTCTGTTTTGTAAATAAGTTTGTCTTTTTTTTTTTAGATTCCACATATGAGTGATATCATGTTATTTTTCTTTCTCTTTCTGGCTCACTTCACTTAGAATGACGATCTCCAGGGCCATCCATGTTGCTGCATATGGCATTATTTTATTCTTTTTTATGGCTAAGTAGTATTCTGTTGTATAAATATATCACAGCTTCTTTATCCATTCATCTGTTGATGGACATTTAGGTTATTTCCATGTCTTGGCTATTGTAAATAGTGCTGCTATGAACATTGGGTGCATGTATCTGTTTGAATTAGAGTTCCCTGTGGATATATGCTCAGGAGTGGGATTGCTGGATCATATGGCAAGTCTATTTTTATTCTTTTGAGGAATCTCCTTACTGTTTTCCATAATGGCAGCACCAAACTACATTCCCACCAACAGTGTAGGAGGGTTCCCTTTTCTCCACATCCTCTCCAGCATTTGTCATTTGTGAACTTTTGAATGATGGCCATTCTGACTGGTGTGAGGTG